GCTGGTGGCTGCCATACAGGGAATTTAGGGGAGCTGATTGGGGGGCTGTCAGTCCACCCGGGTTCCAAGCCCCTCCCCCCAGATAGCTCCAACGGGCTGCTCTTTCTGCAAGCAGTAGACAAAGCAGGCGGCTGCCAAACAACGTTATAAGGGAGCATTGCGCAACTTTAAACGAGCATGTTCCCTAATTGATCAGCAACGATACAACGTTAACCGGGACGACTATGTGGAATAGTCTTTAAATTTAGATTAAATAATTAGTGCAAGACCATAAAATCCTATTTATTCTTAATGGAACTGCAGTTTCATGTAAAACGTGATTATATACTTTAGTAGCAGAAAACTTACTCAAGATCATTGAATCAAACCTGGGACAAATTTTTTCAATTTGGATACAGATCTCAAACTATAGATGAATCCAAAATTGCACAGACAGACTAACAATATAAGCAAAACTAGCTATCTAGTCCTATTTTCTTTTGACAGATTTTCTTTTTCTCCATACAAATAATTTTACTCTATAAAGTAATTCTCTTTCCTTTTCTGCCACAACACAGAGATGGGAAACTCCAAAAAATGTCAGATAAAAGGAAAAGGCAAACCTAGGTCCAAAGTGTACAATACAGACAATTACTGAAAAACAAATCTTGGAACATTTTACAACAGGATTCTGTGTAAGTTATTGCAGCCCAGGGGCCCTAAAATTGATGCATTCGCCACTAACATATAAAACTAGTGTAGCAATTACAGTTCTATTCAGTAATAGCATCTGAACGCCTGAATAAAAATTCAGTCCCCTAATGCAAATATATACAGACTTATGCCCATGTTTGCTTCCTCCTTTCTAAAGATTATTTTAATTTTTTAAACAATTTTTAATATTTATACAACAGGAGTCTCTAGAGATGCTGATCTAGGTGGCATTGTGGTAGATGTTGTACATACACTTAAATAACACAGTACCTGTCCCATACAGCCCACAGTCTTCGATAATGATAAGATTTAACAGGTGGAAGGAACCAACAAAAGAGAAGGGTGGAGGAGAATAAGAGGATGAAGTAACAGTGAAGTGAACATTGTGCATAATGAACAGCTGTCCCAACTTGCCACATGACTAACCAGTGTCTAGTTGGCAGTGTGTTAAAGAGGGCCCCAGATCACAGGGGAAAATCATCATAGTAGAAGGTGTCTTCACACCTAGCTCAAAAAATACTGACATTTTTCTCTACTGTTGTCTTCTGTATCCCTGCACAGATGGATACCTGCAACTGTTCTCTCCTGGTAGAATTATACATGCTCTGACTGACACCAGCCATCTTTGTAAAACTTTCAGCATCTTGGCCACAGCATTCTTCCTCTTGCTGTAGTGCCCCATTTCACAAATCCTTAAAGAGTTTTAATATTCTTGTGGAGATGTGTATGGGTGAATCACAGTTACTTGTGTTATTCCTTTGTCTCAATATTGGATGAATTTGGTATCATAATGTCATTAACGTTCTATGCCTTTCTCTACCAGCTGCTTTCAATGCATATTATTGATCTCTAGCGCTTTTCAGCTTCTTTAGGTGTTCTTAGATGTCATATCAGTTATATATTTTAGACAATATTATTGTACCCTATAAGGCAAAGAAAAAGATAACCATTTTCTCATCTACTCTAATTTTACTCATGCCACAAGTTTTATCCCGATCAGCAGTGTAGGCCTGGCTGAAATTTGGATTTTGGAAGTTAAGTGCACATAGCACATTCATGCATAAAGAATCACAAACCTTCACACCATTCACCAGATGTGAGTTCCCAAAGTCATAATGAGTTGTGAACATCCCACAGTCATGAATTGTTTACATACACAGACTATTGATCCTGTGCCAAGCAATTGAAATTATTGCATCCTTGAAATTAGGAAGTAGTTAGCTCAGGGGTGGGCAAACTTTTTGGGCCGAGGGCCACATCTGGGTGGGGAAATTGTATGCAGGGCCGGGGCAGGGGGTTGGGGTGTGGGAGAGAGTGCGGGGTGTGGGAGGGGGTGTGGTGTGCAGGAAGGGGCTCAGGGCAAGAGATTGGGGCAGAGGAGGGGTGCAGAGTGTATGAAGGGACTCAGGGCAGGGGTGCAGGAAGGGTGCGGACTGCGGGAGGAGGCTCAGGGCAGGGGGTTGGGGTGCAGGAGGGGTGTGGGTTGTACGAGGGGGCTCAGGGTAGGGGGTTGGGGTGCACAGGGATGCGGGGTGTACAAGGGGGCTCAGGGCAGGGAGTTGGGGTGCAGGAGGGGTGCGAGGTTCAGGCAGGGGGCTTAGGGCAGGGAGTTGGGGGGGGCAGGAGGGGTTTGGGGTCCAGTCCGGCACCACTTATCTAAAGGGGCTCCGGGGTGGCAGTGGCATGCACCGGGGCCAGGGCAGGCTCCCTGCCTGCCGGCCCTGCACTGCTCCAGGAAGTGCTGCAGCCCTTGTGGGGGGCAGAGGGCTCCGCGTGCGCTGCCCTTGCCGCGCCTCCAGGTACCTCCCCCGAAGCTCCCATTGGCCGCGGTTCTCTGTTCCCAGCCAATGGGAGCTGCGGGGGGCGGGGCCTGGAGGCAAGGGCAATGCACCGAGCTCTCTGCCTCCCTGCCTGGAGGCCACAGGGACATGGTGCCGGCCTCTTCTGAGAGCAGCATGGGGCCCACGGCACCACGGGGGGCAATCCCGCGGGCCGGATCCAAAGCCCTGACAGGCCAAATCCTGGCCGCGGGCTGTAGTTTGCCCACCTCTGATTAGCCACTGTCTAAGTGTGAATACATACATATATGTAAAATATAACTATTTGAGTGGACGGTAGGATCGATCCCTAAATCTTTGCAAGTTGCCTCCCTTCAGCTTTGTGGGGAGCTAATGCTGAAGCCTTTTTGTCTTTCTGGGGAGTTAACTCTCAAAACTGCTGTATGATGAGTGGCTTTTACACTGCAGTCTGCCCCAGGGACCCGGGGCTTAGTGATGACTGGCAGTAGCCCAGACTGAGGCAAGGGGGTTTGGACCTGCTGCCTTCCTTTGCCTCCCAGTACCTCTATGGGGCTTGAACCAGGCCCTGCAGCCTGGGGAGTTGCCAGCCTGGAGCTCCCCTGCTCCTCTGGTTCTCCCCAGCCCTGCTTTACTCCCAGTACCCTTTCTGCAGGCAGCCAGGCCCTGCTCTCTCCCAGCCTGGAGAGACACTTCTCTTGGGCCTCTGGCTCACAGCCTTTTTATACAGGCCAGCTGTGGCCTAGTTGGGGCATGGCCCAGCTGTGGCAGCTTCCCCAAGCAGCCCAGCTTAGCAGCTCTCAGCACAACCTTCTCCCAGGGTTGACTTTAACCCTTTTTCCACTGGAGTGGGGGAGCCGCCCCACTTCAGTCTGTAATGTCAATCACGTCCCCATCTTGCCACCCCAAACCCTACATGCACTTTTACAATGCAAGCATGGCAGTGACTAAGATAAATGTGATTAGTGACCAACTAAATCATCCAGTGGGTCACTAGCCAGAAGATTATTCTACCTGTACCAATATTTTAATTCCTCTTTTAGCCTAATCAGAGAATGTTACTGCCTGGTGGATGGAGGTCATAAAGCCTACGATGAGGATCCATGAAGCCTTTCTGCAATGGAGCCTAAGTTTTATGGCAGCCCACTGTGTAGCAGGGATTTGGGGGCCAATCAGTGGATTTTCCACTACATAGATTCCCCCAACATGCCCTCATGTAGGTGCCAGCTCCATAGAGGTGCCTTGGTCCCGAGGCAGGAGTAATAGCCATGGAATGACTCTATTGCCATAAAGTGACTGAGTGCATGGGGAGGGAATTGTTACACTCATGGCTTATTTGGCTGAAAGCAGATGCAAAGGTTGGAGATTTAGGAAGTCAATAGCTCTCTATTCTTCAGATTGCATATCTGCAGCCTCAGTTACACAACACGGCCTCGATTTGTATTCTCACTGGGCATTTGGGAGTTTCCTCTCAAGAAGGACTAGATACCGTTTTTTCCCTTTAAATTGGGAGCTTAGATTCAGCAGAAACTAATGGGTGAGTCCCTCTTTTACGAAGCAGTTTCCTAATCGATATAGACAAATAGGTGAGTTGATTTGTCAAGCATAGATTGCAAAATATTTGAAAAACTTGTGCAAATGGATATAAATAATAATAGTTTGTACTTATAGAATGCTTTTCATCAGGAAGTCTCAAAACACTTTATGAAGATTGTAAAATGGAAAGAATAATGTTTACCAGATAGGTAAATGAGGCAAATAAAAGTTAAGTGACTTGCACTAGGTCAGAAAGCAAGTCAGTGGCAGAATCTGGGATGAAACTGAATGTAACTGTCACCATGATAAGCATCATAGGCATTAATTTAGTTTACACAGATATAAAACTATATCTCAAAACTTTCAGCCCTTTGCTCAGTCTATTAGACCACAATTGCCTTTCTTTTCAAATATAAAAGCAGCACATATATTACATTGGATCTTCTGTTAAGACAGAAGGCAGTATGAGTCTGAAAGTTCCTATACACCCTCCATTTGTGCACATACAAACGTGCAAATGCATTTATATGTGCGCACATCTTTGTACACTATCTCTTATGCAAAAAAATTATAGAATTTACTGTAAAGTGTCTTTGGCCTGATTCCTGCTAATAAGGAGTAACTGAGCAGCTGTGTAGAGTCACCTTCATTAAAGCAGGTTCAGCTTCCCATGCTCTTCTGCTCGTCATTTTGCACCTTATGCTTATCCATGGAACTTCAGTACCTGCAGCTCAAACTCAGACTGCAGTAATGAAATTACAACATATGTTCTATTATATAACAAGGCCTGTCTTTGGTTGTTTATAGTTCTTATCCAGACGAACTGCATTAATAATGATAACCTGCTAAAAAATATATTTTTCAAACCATGCTGTTTAAGTGATAACATTAGTGAAAAGCCATTCATAGGCAAACACTAAGTTTTTCAATTTATCATTAAACTGTTAATGTGTAATTACTTTTATTTGTCTTTAGGAAGTGACACGTAGTAGTCAGCTCACGGTATCAAGCAGCAGCAGAGAAGCTGAACAGAATGAAGTGACCTCCAAAGGAACTCAGTTGGAAGCCTTTCAAACAGAAGAGGTTAAGTGTATCAATTAATAATTTTGTCACCAGGCCACTGTACAGAGATGCTGATATGGAGACTACATATTTGCTTTGCTTTTTAACTCTGTTACCACTTAGTATAACAAGATCTTGACGTGCTAGTGAAAACTTCCCTGATTTTGTGGTAGGCAATCATTTTAAAATAGGTGTTTTATAAGTGTTGCTTCAATGTGTTAATTAGTTGGGTTTTCATTCAGACTTTACCTTCATAAAGCATTTGTTCTGTGTGTCTGCATACAAATAGAAAACTTAGACATATTACACTAAATCCTATATTAAAATAAAAATTTTGTCTACAGGTTTCTCATGTCGAACAATCTACCCATCAGACAAGCAAGGCTTCTAATTTCACTCAACATATTGATGAAACAGGTAAGAAAATCAGGATGATTTTAAGCAGGAGAATAAAGACTAAGAAATGACAAACAGCATATACACTTGTTGGCACAAAAATACCATTGTTCACAGGTGAATATGGGCCCAGTATTCCATTTCTATTCAGCAAAACACACCAATTGACTTTGATGGGATTTAAGGAGCATATGCTAATTTAAGTACCTGGTGAAGCGCTTTGTAAATGAGGTGGACTTTAAGCATATGTTAAAAGATCTACTGACTTGGGGCCATGTAGAAAATCCATTCTCCTAACATTTGTTAAAACAAAAACCCATTTATGCAAATTTTTGTAAATAGTGAATAATAATGGATAAAATTATGGTTGAAATAACAGCTCTGGACAATATGAATAATGTTCATGAAAGCTGATTTTTCAGTATTCAACCAGCTCTAGTCATGACATTAACACAAATTACACATTGCAAAACAATATGTGATATGTTACTCTGCAATTATTCTATGGTTTTCTGTGTCTTCATCTAAGTGATTCTACAGTTCTGCAAGGTTGAGTGCAATTGGTTTAGTTTAATAACTCTTTTTTTAAAATAACTCACTGTTAGACAATTATAATAAAATACTAGGCTTAGAAAAACCCTTTTGTTCTTCTTTTCTTATTGTAGTAGTCAATGAAACTATGAATGAAGAGATCCCAAAGATTTCAACACAGTTTTTAAAACAGCACTTTGAAAAGACAGCCCAGGAAAAGGCTCTTCTCTCAGACAGGGAGACTGCGACACCTGCAAAGCATACTAAGGTCTGTGCTTTTAATAAGTGGGATTTCTGTATATGCAGACTAGCAGTGTTCTGGTTAGCCAGAATGTTGAAACATTGCCCTTCGTGCAATTGCTCAAATCTCAGCATATTCATATTTTGATCGTTTAGTTGATTTTTAAAATAAATATAACATTGTGGAAATGGTGGGAGCATGGGTGGGTTTGGAAACTGTTTACACGTTAAGTAAGAAGTAATGAAAATTATATTAAGTAAATCTAGCAAATATATTTATATTATATGATAAAGTAAAGCTTTTACCAAAAATCTTTGTTTTTCCATTGTCTTCCTCTGCTGCATGCAATTTTCTCTCTCTCTCTCCTTTGACTCATGTAAAAAAAACTTATTATTTTTCTTCAAAATTTTTGGTAGACACATTGGTTCATCAGAGGTAAATGCAGAGAATATCAATTTCATCAATGAATGAAACAAATATAAACTGCTGATAAATGATACAATGTGCATTGGTTGCAGCAGAGAAAGCAAAGCTGCAAAATCACTGTGCACCTCTTTGAAAGAAGTACATTACCTTCCTTATGCAGGCTGTGTTAAAACAGCATGTTCCCTTTAGGCTCAATTCTACAAGGCTCTGAGCAACTCCTGGAGGTGCTGGGTCCCTTCAACTCCCATTGCAATCCCATTTCTCAGCATCTTGCAGGACTAAGCCCTTTGAATAGAATGAATAAAAGCTATGATCTTAGAAATGATTTCTTAAAAATACTAATTTTGTCCCCTAAAGATTGAAAATGAGTTCCAAGAAATTGTATGGCCTTCTGCAGTGAGCTTCTCTTCTGCTGCCACTGCTTCAGAAAGTAGAGTACACGAAACTCTTGGGACACGAAAAACAGAATATGGAACTGCTGCTGCTGTTACAGCTTACACCAACTCCCCTAAATATGGAAGCACAGAAGAGTTTTCCCCTCCTCCACTACCAAACATACTACAAGCGCCATCAGAAATGAAAGAGTTTTCCCAGTCCCCTGAACCATCCACCTCTCCAGCAAAGCCCACAATCCCCAAAGATTTATATTCAAAGCAAAGAAATTTATATGAATTAAAACGTTTATACAAACATATTCACCCAGAATTAAGAAAGAATTTAGAAAAAGAATATTTTAATGAAGTTTCTGATATTGTATCTAGTAAGGTTGAAATAGGCAGCTCTGTGTCAGGAGATGTACAGCAAACTAGATATGTCTTTGAAAACACTGGTAATAGCTCTCAGAAGTGTATGAGCCCTGAGAGAGAATACCTAGAATGGGATGAAATCCTAAAAGGAGAGGTTCAGTCTATGAGATGGGTCTTTGAGAACCAGCCTTTGGATTCAATCAAAGATGAATCTCCTGAACTGAGCAACATTAAAAGCATTGCAGATCAAGAAATCATTGCAGGTGGAGACGTAAAATATACTACCTGGATGTTTGAAACACAACCTATCGATGCACTGGGTACACATTCTTCAAACGCTGCAGAAAATACAGACAAAATTCCAGATTTAGCTAGTGGAGATGTCCGTACAGCCACGTGGATGTTTGAAACCCAACCATTAGATTCAATGAATAAAATTCATCATGACAATGAACAAGATGAAACTTTCATTAAAGAAATTACCGGAGGTGATGTCAAAACTGTGAGGTACATGTTTGAAACCCAGCATCTGGATAAACTTGGGCAGCTATACTCAGTGGATGAAGTTAACTTGCTGCAACTCAAATCTGAGCTTAAAGAGATTAAAGGAGATGTGAAGAGAAGCATAAAGCATTTTGAAACTCAACCAATGTATGTTATTAAAGACAGCTTAGGTCAAATATTGGAGATTAAAACTGTTCACCGAGAAGACATTGAAAAAGGAGATGTTAGAACAGCACGTTGGATGTTTGAAACGCGGCCCCTAGATATGATTAACAAAGATTCTGTGGAAATTAATGTTGTTCGTGGAATCTCTGTGGAGGAAAGCATCAAAGGTGGTGTGCGCAAGGCAAAGTGGGTGTTTGAAACACAACCTTTGGATACTATCAAGGAGGACTCAGAAGTATCTGTCACTGAGAAGGAAGCTATTCTAGGGGCTGATGTCTGTAGAAAATGCTGGATTTTTGAGACTCAACCTCTTGATACCCTAAAAGATAATGATGACACAACTCATCTGCCACCTGAAGAAATAATAGGAGGTGATGTAAGCACTACTAAGCATTTATTTGAAACACTACCAATGGATGCTTTAAAGGATAGCCCAGATGTTGGTAAGCTTCAAAAGGTGGTTGCCACTGAGGAAGAAAAAGGTGATGTGAGACATCAAAAATGGATTTTTGAGACTAAACCTCTTGAACAGATTAGAGAAGAAAGAAAGGAATTTATAACAACAGTGAAACTTGAAGAAGTTGACAGAGGAGATGTGAGTAGCTGCAAACATATATTTGAATCAAGCAATTTAAGTAAATATGATGAATCACATAAAATCCATGTGGAAGAAATAAGAAGAGGAACTGTAGAGTTGAATAAAGCTCTTTTTGAAACAACTCCATTATATGCAATTCAAGATAGTCTTGGGAAATATCATGAAGTTAAAACAATTCGACAAGAAGAAGTTTTAAGAGGTGATGTAAGAAGCTGCAGATGGCTGTTTGAAACAAGGCCTGTTGACCAATTTGATGAGAGCATTAAAAAAATCCAGATTATCAAAGGAATATCTTCACAAGAAGTAGAATCAGGTGACGTGAAAACAGCTAAATGGTTGTTTGAAACTCAGCCTCTTGATTCTATTAAATATTTTAGCAATATGGAAAGTGAAGAAAGTAAAACAGAACAGACTACAGACATTATTAAAGGAGATGTAAAAATGTGTAGATGGCTCTTTGAAACTCAGCCAATGGAATCACTGTATGACAAGGTTGAGATAGTGACTGACAGTGAAGAAGTACATAAAGGAGATGTCAAAACCTGTACTTGGCTCTTTGAAACCCAGCCGCTTGATGCAATAAAAGATGAATCAGAAACAAGAGTGAAATTACACACTGTGAATCAGGAGGATATTCAAGGAAGTGATGTCCGCACAGCATGTTTCCTTTTTGAGACAGAAAATCTAGAAAATATACAAGGAGAAGAAGAAAAGGAATTCAAACGAGTAGTGGAAATTGATATCCAGCCTGGGGATGTTTCCACCATGAAATATAAATTTGAAAACCAGTCACTAGATTCCATACATTTTAGTTCAGAGGAAGTTTTGGAAAAAATTAAAACTGTGCAAAGTGAAGATATACAGAAAGGAAATGTTCTACATTGCCGATGGCTTTTTGAAAACCATTCTATTGATGCAATAAAAGAAAACCAAGAAGAAGCTACATTAGTCAGAACTGTTAAAGATATACACGGTGGGAATGTAAGAAAAGGCTGCTTTATATTTGAGACATTTTCTTTAGACCAGATTAAAGATGGATCTGCAGATACCAGCACCAAGAAAACTGTTAGTGAAGAAATAACAAAGGGAGATGTGAAAAACTACAGAATGCTGTTTGAAACCCAGCCACTTTATGCAATTCAAGACAAAGAAGGGTATTATCATGAAGTGACAACAGTTAAGAAGGAAGAAGTGATTCATGGAGATGTACGTGGGACTAGGTGGCTGTTTGAAACAAAACCTTTAGGATCTATTAATGAATCAGATAATGTGTATGTTATTAGAGCTGTCACCCAGGAAGATATTCAGAAAGGAGATGTGAGCTCTGTCAGATACAGATTTGAAACACGACCACTGGACAGAATTTCAGATGATGAAAAATTAATTGTGCCAACTATTGACAGTGTCCAGGGTGGTGATGTGAAGGCCAACAAACAATTATTTGAGTCTGAAGGATTCAATAAAGGCATGTATGTAAGAACAGTAAGTGTCAGTGAAATCCAATGGGGCAATGTTAAAACTTCCACTTGGTTATTTGAAACACACACTCTAGATGAGATTAGAGGAGAGGGGTCAGAGTATAAAGATATCAAGACAGTCACGAAGGAAGATGTGCAAGAAGGTGATGTTCAGCATGCTGTGTGGCTTTTTGAAAACCAGCCTTTAGATTCCATTAAGGAAACTGATGAAAGTGAAATAAAGATAACCCGGGAAGAAATTCCTCAGTCAGATGTAAAGACAACAACATGGCTTTTTGAAACGACACCTTTCCCTGAATTTAATGAAAATAAGGTTGAAAAGCAAGAAATTATAGGGAAAAGTATCAAAGAAACTTTAAAAGAACTTTACTCTCACAAAGTCATTGAGTATCATGGAATTATCCTTGAGGCAGATGAAATTGGAGATGTCAGAATGGCAAAATATAAACTAATGAATCAAGAGACTCCTGAAATACAAAAGGAAGAGATTATTAGAGGGGATCTAGGAAACATAATGATGAACCTGTTGTCCAAAAGAAGCATTACCAAAAGAGAAATTATGGTAAATGAAGACGAAAAGGGCAATGTCGATTTGACCAAAGCTCAATTATTGAACAGATCAACAGATGTTAGTGTTGAAAAAGAAGAGATAGTGAGAGGTGATATACAGCAAGCTATAAAAAACCTGTTTAGTCAGGATAGTTCTGTAAAACGAGGAATTTTAATTCAGGAAAATGAGAGAGGTGATATTAACATGACACTCTATTCTCTCCTTCACAAAAGGTCTGACAATAAAATCCAGCGTGATGAAGTGATAGGTGGTGATGTGAAACATACTATTCACAACCTTCTGTCTTCCACAGTGAATAATGAAATATCCCAAAGAGCTAAAATAGATGATTCAGAGAGAGGAAACGTGCAGTTTTTCACAACATGCATAGAATCTGGAGCTTTGGATTATCTGAAACTACTCCAGACAGGGTCAACTGAAACAATTACAACAAGGAAACAAGAAGAGGAGGAGGAGGAGGAAATAATTGGTGGTGATGTAGAAGGCACAAAGCTGTTACTAAAGAAACAGAAGTTTCAGATTCAACATACAGTTAACGAAACTGACATCATCCCTGGAGATGTGGCTAATGCAGTTAAAATTTTTATGACGGAGCCAAAAAATACATCTTGTAATGTAAATAAACAAGATATTATAAAAGGTGATTTGAAAGCAACTTTAAATTCCCTCAGTCAGGCCATAAATCAGAGAACAGTTATAGAAAAGGAAGAAATTATAAAAGCCGACATTCTCACAATACTGAAGTCTCTTAAAGAATCAGCCCATCAACTGAAAGAAACAGAGAAGCCTGATGTCATACCTGGTGATATTAAGCAGGCCATTGATTCCCTTGAAAAAGAAATAACCACAAAAATTGAAGTTCTGAAAGAAGAGGTTGTTCGAGGTGACCTTGAATCAACATTAAGATCTTTAAAAGAAGCTCAGCAGTCTTTCAAGAATGTAGACACAGAAGATGTAATCAGAGGAGATATTCAGACTGCTGGACAAAACATCCTAGAAGCCTCTGCGGAAAAGAAAATGGTACAACATGAAGTAAGTGGTCATGAAGATATTAAAAGCACCATCCAGACACAGCATATAGCCCAGCTCCAAAGTAACAGGTCACATAATCTGCAAAAGAATGTTAAATCTGTCCATGAACATCATGAGGAAACACAGGCTGAAAATGAGACTTTCCTCAAAGAAGGTGGACAAGGTACCAGAAAGATCCATTTAGAACAAGAACAGAGCACTGAGTCTCTTGATGTAGATAAAAAACATATAAAGAACTTATCTAATTCTCAACACATGGTCATCAAAAAAGTGGATGAATCAATGGATAAAAGCAGAGTCCAGGGCAATGTAAAAAAAGAAGCAAAACATGTGACCAGCCAGTCTTCTTTCCGTGGTAAAGTTAAGAGAGATGTGAGAACAGAGAAATCAGAGACATGTAGAGCTCTGAAAAAGGATAGCACGACCAGCAGTGTGCAGTCCATAGAAAAAATAGCTGAAAAGAAACAGAATCTACTTCATGAGCATAAAGACAATGAATATTCCAACCTAAGCTGTCAGGCGGAGACAAGACAAAAGGCAAAAATGTCAACTGATGTTGATAGCTCCAAATCCAGAACTACACGACAACCAATTAAAATGCCGGCTAGTGGGATTTCTAAGGCGACTGGCCATTTTCAAAAGCAAGTGATAAAGCAAGAAACAAAACAAGCTCAGCATTCTAGAGAGGTTTTTGCAGAGAATGAAATAAACGTTCAGCTGGGGCAAGCTGTAGTTTCCATGACAGCAGAACAGAATATAAACAACAAACAAGAAGTAAAAGTCACACAGGAAGCACTCAATAAATTTAAAGAAACTGAAAGGAAGCAAAAGAGAGATGTTCATCAGCAAAATAAGAAATCTGTAGGACAGTTTATAGGAAAGACTAAAGTGGAACCTGCTAAGTCAGACTTCCAATTTGCAGTGAAAAATCCTCTAAATCCAGCCAAGAATGCTGTGGGGAAAGATAAGCCAGAAATAGATTCCTCATCTACTCCACCACCATCACCCCCTCCTCCTCCACCACCACCATCAGTAGCATCATCTGAAATTGAATTTCCTCTGCCGCCTCCCCCACCTCCATTAATGATGCCATCTGATAGACATATATTTCCTTCACCTCCATCACCTATCGACAAAACCAAAGCTGAGTTTGATCATTTTCCTCCTCCCCCACCACCAATAGATGACAAATCTGAAAGTGAGTTTCTGCCTGCTCTCCCTCTACCACCCCCACCACCTCCCCTGGTGATTTTTCCTACTTCTCAGCCAAAGCAAAAGAAAGAACATTTTCCAAAATATCCAGAACAGTCTGTGCCTGAGCCACTGCAATTTAATGCCAGGGCTAAAACATCGTCAGGTAAACCAGCTGGAGTTCCATCTTCAAAGAAATTCCTCAAAATGGAACCTTCTAAGGGGCTAGACATTAACAAGTCTAAAATGCCTCCAAAAATTGAACCAACTGTTCTTCAGACACACAGAGAAATGGATATTACCACAGCAGCGGTAGAAAGCAAAAATTCCACAGCTCTTGTGAATGTGGTTAGCCAGGAACAGAAACAGGAGACAACTCATACAAAAACAGAAGGGATAAAAAGGCCATCATCTGTTTCAGAAGTGATTAATCCTCCACCCAAAGCTCTGCAAGAGACACCACTGGCCAAGAAAAGAGTGGTCTTTCCTCTTAAAAGATCTCCTTCCCTTCCAGCAGAGCCAACACAAATAAAACCTAAACCTTATGTCAGAAAATTTAAAACCCCTTTAATGATTGCTGAAGAAAAATACAGGCAGCAAAGGGAGGAGATGGAGAAAGTGCAAGTCAAAAGTTTTTGTCATGAGACTGTCAGAACAAACAGCGAGACTCGGGGAAGTCCAGTTCAAACAGAGTCAGAAAATTGTGTACCATTTAAAAAATCAAGCAAGCAGGATCAAACTTCTTTACAAGGTTCAGTTCCCTCTGTAACTCCACAAAAAACAACACCCTCTGATTCTGACTTTCAAGTCAGTTTACAAGCAACAGGATCCCGAGGTAAACAACTGTCTACATCATTAGTAGTATCATCAGCTACTGAGCAGCTTCAAAACATTTTAGAAACCTCAGCAGATCACATTAGAAAAAAAGTACTGCAAGGTTCAAAGGATCTTACAAAACATAATTTATCTTGTCAAATGGAACAAATCCATCAAGAACATACTTTGCATAAGGCAGAGCAGCTGAAGAATGTGGAGCAGTTGCACGTGTCCAAAAATAAAATTATCTCCCCTCATTTCAAAGTTAAAACTATCAAGCTTCCAATTGTAGATCAAAGCTTACATGAAACACACAAAGATTGTGAGACACACAAAAAACAACAGGGAACTAATGTTCAAAATGTTGTCAAACAACAAAATCAGGAAAAACAGGGGGAAGACATAAGTACTAACGCTAGGAAAAAACAAAGTGGTGCAAAAGAATATCACCAGAAGCATGTTGATGGAAAGGTGCTGAGAGAAAAACCACCTTTAGAACACATAGAGAATATGCAAGAAGTAAGCCAAAAAGATGCCAATCAAGTGAAACAAAAATTAGTTAATGAGAAAGAAACAGAAAAAGGAGAATTCAAGCATGAGAAAGTCTCAGTGGCTAAAGTAGTAAGTCAGGAGGGCCAGGTATTAGTTTGTCCAAAAGAAGAAAAAGTAACAATTCCAGAAAAACAAGGTCAGTTTAAGAATAAATCAACAGAAAAAGTAGTCAGGCAAAAGGTAATTGATACACGTCATGACTCTCAGACTCAAATTGTTGAGCAAAAGAATGTGTGTGTTTCTAAAAATAAAGTTCAAAATAAAAAGTTATCCCAGCAATATAATAGATTGCAAGAAAGCAAATGTGCCAAAGACAAGGGCATACAACTAAAACAAGTACATCCGAAGAAAACAGATCCAAAACAAGAGATTACACAGAACAAATCTTTATTTTCTCCTCCATCAAAAGGATCACAGCTGAACGACGAAAAATTTGCAGTCGATATATTAGAATTCTTGAGGAAACGGGAGGAACTGCAGCAAGTTTTGTCTAGAGTGAAACAGTTTGAAGCTGAGCCAAATAAAAATGGTATGAAAGCATTTCAGACATTTTTAAATAATATCCCAGTATGGCTTATAGACCAAGAAAGAAAGAAAAATATAGTTCATATTGCAACAGAAAATAATTTAGAAAGGATGAAAGAAGAGCTATCAGATATTAAAGATCAAGCAGTCAAAATACTAGCCTCATGTGAAGACACAATCCAGACAGCTATGATGTCCACAAAAACAGTGAAATCCAGAAATGACTCTGTTAGTTCTGGAGGCTTGTCACAGAAAATATCAAAAATCAGCACTGGCTCCAACAGAAGAGATTCGCACCAAACGAAAGAGGTTATAAAGGAAGAATCAGTGCACCGTGAAATTATACAGCAATCCAGTGGAATCAAACAAACAGAATTCAGAACTTCTTCTCCAGCATTAAGAATGCGATCGCCATCACCTACTTATATAACAATTGAATCTAAACGGACAGAATCTCCTCTGAAGGAAGCACTCTGTTCATCTGCCATCCAAAGAAAAAGTACTCCTATTCCTCCCCCACCACGCAGATCTGCAACACCAACATCTACAATTCGAAGGCCAGCCTCTTCCCCCTCTCCTCCAAGGAGCCGTTCTGAACAACTGGCCAAACTGAAAGGCACAACAGCAAAGCTATCTCAAGGAGTAACACAGCACTGGTCAGTAACATCAGTTCCAGTTGTAGAAAAAAGATCAGAGATTGTTAAATCTCCTGCAACTCTTCGTAGACAAATTAAAATTGAAACACATGCTATGATGGAGCCTTCATTCTCAGCAACTATAAATGAATCTCAGGTAACTGCTGGTACAGTAAAGGACATAAAAGAAACACGTGAAGAAAATAGAAAAGCAGAGAAAAACAACAATGACGCACACCAAGATCCAGTAAACATTCCAGAATGCTTAAAGCCACATGCAGTAAGTTTTAAGGTCCCTAAGATTGACCAGTCAGGGCTTACTTGTAGGTTTGAAGCATCTGAGCAAATAAGACATACAAAAAAAGAACCAGTCACAGTAGTTGAAAGAGTAGACTATGAGAGTGTAGATGAAATGGATATGTTATTAGGGAAATCAGAGGACAAGCCAGGATTTGATGTGAAATCAAAGAAAAGAGTTTTTGAAAGGGGTGGAATGAATAGCAAAATAAAACAAGACAGACACACATTTAGCAAGGATGAATTTGTACTGACCTCTCTGGAGAATCAAAAGCGAAAAGATACCTTTAGAAACTCTCCTTATAGGCAGCCAAGAGACCCAAAGGAAGGTATATCTTATAAACAAAAGCAATGTGAAGATAAAGAGCACTCATTTGAACCCCTGGTTTGCTTGGAAGCAAAGTATCATACCGACCACACTTCTGGTCTGGATAGATTTGCCAACACGGTCACTGAATCGACATCACAAAGTGCTGATTGTAGGCAGTCAGGATTTGGCTTCAAGCATGCACCTCCAACATATGAAGATGTAATCTCAGGACACATTTTGGATATTTCTGCTACTGATTCACCAGAAGAACTACTAAGGAATTTTCAGAAGACGTGGCAGGAAAGTGAAAGAGTATTTAATAGTCTTGGCTACACGGTCTCAGATACTTCTGAAGCTGAAGTGAGAAGTAGCTTCCACCAGGAATCAGCATTTATCAGTGGTAAATAAGCATGCAAAGTGTGAAGAAACCTTAACAACTGTTAAAAAAAAATGATTCAACCTCAGTATATTGTGCAATTAATGAAAAGTGTGTTGATAATCAAAGAACAAAGTAACATAAAACTAACAAACTTTTCCCCACTTTTGCTCTCTCTCTCTTTCTCTCAGCAATCTTTAATCATTTTCCCTTTCCAAACGCTTTAAGTGATGTGCTGAGTGTGTGACTAACAAATACTGGTATGTTGAGTTTTGAGGACTTTCTTGCCAAGGTAAATATTGCATTTGAATTAGTATTGGAACAAAAATACGTATAGAACGCATTTCATTTCTTATAGCGGCAAATAGCTGGCATTGTGCTTTTAACTGAGATAAATAGTTAAGTGACTGCTGTGTTTGCATGCACTCCAACATAGCAATAATGGTATAACAATCTGCATGTTTTATATGCATCTGCTCTAAGTTTGCTAAATCACAAAACTTGAATTTGAACAAAATGAGTTTTGTTTAGGGTAGGTTTTAATTAAATGTGTGCAAAAATAAAGAAGTTGTTTACAAAATTTAATGTGAAAACTTTTGCCATTATGTTGGGTGAATTCATACCCTGAAATTTTATCTTGCATTGAAATATACAAAAATGCAAAATGTAACTTTCACACTACTGTCCATTGTTCTGAGGGAAATATCCCCTTCCTCTCCTCTCTAAGGACCCTGCCACTGTGAGACACTTTCTTCTCCCTCAGAGGCCTGGCACCCCATGGCTTCAGTGCTCCATCCAGGCCTGGGAAAATGAATCAAAAATGTCTTCACTGCACAGTTAATTTGGGTCTTACTTGTATTTTAGCCCAACCTTCTCTACCACCCACACAGAAAAACCGCTGACCCAAATTTGGAGCTGCTTTAAGTTAATTATATTATTTTGCAGTGTAGTTGCTCACACCCATGCTAGGCTAACCATGGTGTTCAGACAGGATACCTGCCTCCTGGGTTAATTGCACAATGAAGACATAGCCTTAGTACACTCACTGTCTCTAGCTTAGGTATATATTTCTAAGGCATAGGGTATATCTACACCTGGTGTGATTCCCAGCTCGAGGAGGCATACCCAGGCTAGCTCTGATCGAGCTAGTGTGCTGAAAACAGAGTATAGCTACAGCAGTGTGAGTGGTGAGAGGGGCGAGCCACTCTGAGTACATACCTAGCATCTTGGACCAATACATACTTGGGGCAGATAGCCCCTCCCACCACTCATGCCATCATGGCTAAGCTCTATTTTTAACCTGCTAGCTCAGAGCTAGCATGGGAATGTCTCCTGAGCTGGGAATTGCACACCCCAGCTCTACGTGTGTACATCCCTCAGACAGTCAGGGAACCTGTCAAAATACTGTGTGAGTTCAACCATCTGCCTTCCCCTCAGGCTAACAACAGGAAACTAAATCCAGACTGTACTACAAAGAGTGCCTTGAAATTTTCAGGGACATGAGTACAAAAATCAACTTTGATTAGTCTATTCACTTATGGGGAAAATTTTGCATTCAGGTAATTTCTAAGTAAATTTTGAAGATTTTTAATTTCTCCTTGGATGTTTTGCACAGCTCTAGGAGATATAGGCACAGTTGTATAGTCTACACTGCTGTTCTGTCTTGATTTATGAATTGCTATAAAATCAGTACTAGCAGGCAAATACAAATAATATAACATTAGAGCGGGCCACATTCTCTGCTGGTGTAAATGGGTGCAGAACTAGGATGATAAGGGGGAAGCGGCACCATTTACATCAGCAGAGAATTTAGTCCACTCTAATGCTGTATTATTTGTATTTGCCTGTTAACATGGATTTCATGCATGTTATAGCAATTCATAAATCAAGACAGAATAGCAGTGTAGCTTTCTCAAGCCCAGCAGATTGTCTGTTATCTTCCTCTCTTCCTGCCCCTCACCTTCCTGAAATAAACTTTCTACTGGTGCTTTGTACTTTGGAGTATAGCTAGTTTCCTTTACAATCAATTATGCTTCAAAAAAGAAGGGATTTGCTATAATTAGCTAATATCAGTATTGTAGCTAATTCTCTCTTGCAAATTAACTGAACAAAATACCAGCCATGAAAATGAAAACTGTAAAAAGCTCAAATAATTATATCTCTATCATATTTGCAACATATGTGCATGTAGTTTTCAGGTTAATGCAGTAATGGAGTTCCTTGATGTGCTTCTGGCATAATTAAGCAAAGCTTTCTAATCATAGTTTCAAACATTCACCCTCTGCGTATATATCTCTAAATGACATTGCAGATTCAAAGAGGTGGGTTCTATATAAACATACTCAATCCAACTTAACATTCCTTTTTATGATACCATCTCACTTTAAGAAAAAAATGTTTATTACATACAAAGGGCAAAATTCTGCTTGGCTTCCTGAAGTGAAGTCCTATTAAAATTCATGAAACTACTCACCTGAAAAAGTGAACAGGTTTTTGCTTTCAAAGTATTACAATTAGTTGAATTATAGTTTATCCCTAAAATTTGTAGATTACTTATCAATTCGTGGATGAACTGACAAAAATCAACATTGCAGCTTTCCATATAAACCATTCATTTTGTGCATGGACTGATAAAGTGACATCTTTTAGAAATAAATTCTAATACATGGCTGGGGACCGATATATGACCTTTATAAAATATTGTTTCTAGAAACTGCAACTTCAGGAAAAGGAAACATGCATACTTTGTCAAAAGAAAGTTTATCCAATGGAATGTCTAGTTGTCGACAAGCAAATCTTTCATAAATCATGTTTCCGATGTCACCACTGCGGCAGTAAGTTAAGGTAAGGAGGAACTACCAATTCATTCACAGAAAATCTGTTTCTGAGGTGCAAGTACCGCTGTAACTGGCAACCGTGTTCCTATCAATGCTAACCAGCAGATAGAGCTTTGGATCAGTAGTCAAGAGACCTGGGAGGTCTTCCAGGCAAGGATTATAGATCTGATCCTGTACTTCTAAAGTCAATAGGAATTTTTCCCTTTACTTCATTGGGAGCAGGATCCAAGCCTAAGTAAACATGCATATGAATAAATCCTGTCATCCAAGAAAAGGACTGAGGTGTGCTAATAGAGAAGTGTAGAGAAGCTTGGATGGTACTGCATGTTTTCCACCTCTTCTGTAGGAAAATAAAGAGGACTTCAGTGGTTGTCATATACACTAGCAACTGTCATGAACTTTAAAAAAGCATAAACATAAAGTGCTAGGGATCATTCCTCTTGGCAGCCTATACTTTCATTAAGTTTAGTCCATTTACTGTAAAGTGTTTCTTTAGCTGTAGGAAATAATCATCCATTTATATATTTTAATTATTATCATTATGATATAAAAGTGAGGTTCTTGCTACAAAAATTTTTAGTTTTTATAGGAATTTACAATACATAAAGTTTCAAATACTTAAGATCCTTTTTCTGGTGAGACCCATGCATTAAAATTAAAAATAAATGTTATTGTTTCTTTGCTAAAATATACATAAAGATATCTATAGATACTGTAATTTTTGAGTACTTAGCAGGTCAACTAAAATTGAATATTCTTGGTGTATTTATTCTTGGTAGATCTATAGATGCTATCAAACAAATTTTCTTCCATTTGACAGCTTGGGAAATTATGCATCTCTCCATGGACAATCATACTGTAAACCCCATTTTAAGCAACTTTTCAAGTCTAAAGGAAATTATGATGAAGGTTTTGGACACAAGCAACACAAAGAATTATGGAGTTCCAAAGACCAAACAAGCTCAGTTGGCAATGTTCATGCTGAAGAGGTAAATCCAAGTAATGAGACAACTATCATATCTAAGCTTAATACAGAAATTGAACCAGACTTGCATTCAGATATTCAATATGTGCATTCTGAAACTCTAGATGACAATTTGAAAAGATCTACAGAAAGAGGCAAATTAAAGATTACATGGCCTCCTTCTACAGATCATGTTATGTTCCCCCAAAAAACATTTTCTGTTGAAGAGGAGGTTAAAATGAATAAGCCAAAGTGGCCCCCAGAAGGTTTTGCACAAGAAGCGTCCAGAACATACACAAATACACCTCTGGGCAATAAAAATGAACCTCAGCTAGAAAATACCCAGAGTGATCTCAGAGAGAAAGAAGAACAAAAGAAAGATGACATTGTTGACTCACAACAAAATCAACAGTCATCTTTTAGTTCTATGTCTGAGAGAGAAGAAGTTATAAATTTCAATGTAGCAAAGATAACTGAAGTAGGCAGTAAGGAAATAGATGAAAAAAATGAGAATGTGGAAGATAAGATGAATGAAACAGAAGGATCAGAGAATAGAGAGGATAGTGGAAAGGAACATAATGTAGTTGTGCAGAGTGCTGAGAAGGAGCGAGATGAAAAAATTAATGAATCTGATGGTGTAGAAGCTTTACAGGTTACTAACATTAATAAGGAGACAGTACAAGATAATCATAAAGAGTTTAATATGAGTAACAATAATAATAATAATAATAATTATACAACTTTTTCACACTTGAACATTTGTAGACAGGAAACCTCTCTCTCAGTTATACCTAATCCAGTAAAAAAATTAAGCCATGCAAATCACACCATGTTTGAATATGCTTTTGAAAAGCTAGAAAATCAACCAAGAAATGCAGAACTACTTGGTATACCTGAATTTCAAGAGAGCTCTTCTAGCGATGTTGTAAACATTGCACTTGAGAAACAAAACTCCAAAGATAAAGTTACCTCAGATAGTCTTGTTCAAATTAATACAAATGCCACTTGTCAAAAATCTTGTACCAGCAACGTATTAGTTTTAAAGGAAACCACTAATACAGCATTCCCTTTTGATACCAAGTTGCTAAGCATTGGGGAAAAATCAAAAAATGACAATAGCTTAAATACTGCTTTATGTGATAATGTGAAAACACCTTCCTTTCCTGAAAAAGATGACATGTTCTTAGACTTAGGTCTGTTAGATTCTGTAGACATAACTAAAAATGCTTCCAGTCCATATTCAAAAGAACATTGGAATTCTGATATGGAACTACATGATATCAATATCTGTCAAGAAGGTGAAATAACGGAAGTGTCAGCAAATGGCACAAGCACAAGTTTAGATTTACTGAGCTCAAGATATATAGCTGTTCCACCATCTCAAGGAGATAAAGTCCAGTCTGATTATCTCACTGTAGAAGAGCAAATCAAAAGAAATAGATGCTATAATGATTATGAATAAAACAAATGATCAGCTAAAATTGTCACTCACAAAGTATATGGTAAAATATTATTTATGTCTACAATTAATGAGTTAGGCATTTCTGTAATCCAGTTATTCTATGGCACTTCTTAAGGAACTTAATATACAGAGATTATATATGAATGTGTATTTGTATTATATATCACCAATTATTCATATTTTATTTTTGCTTACATTATCTTTCAGTCAATAGAGAGGCAAAAATATGATGGGTTTTTTTTCAGTTCAGGATGCAAATGATTTGTATTTCCACAATTCTTTATGCTGCAGGCAATATTTTAAAATATGACTATCCTGCTGATACATGCATTAATTCAACATTGTTCTTTATCATTTGTAATGAACTAAGAAGTAATGCACCTGGTGTGCAGAAGAATAAGGAAAAATATTTCTACAATTTTTTTTCATGTATTGTTATTTCTATAAGTAAATAAGCTGTTTCTCCATGATAAATTATGTACATTTTTCTTGTTAGCTTTTATTAGAAAAGTATGTTTCTAGTAACATCATGAAATACTTGGTTTGAAATGGAATAATAATAAAATAGGAGCTACAACCAGTGGGCAAATAATAATGGAAATTATATCATTTTGCTGTCTCCCTGAAATTGTCATGTCCCTTTGGAGCACTGAGATGTTTACTGTGCATTATGTTGCATGACAGCAAAAAGTAAGTTGTGTAAAAATGTAGGAAATGACATGAAGAAGAACATCACATGTAGAATTGGGACAATATTCAAGATGCAGGAAAACAGGAGTAAAACAGAGGTTATTTTACTTTTTTTTTTTTTTCAAAAATAATTTTAGATAAACCAGCTTCCTAGTTTTAGATTTAAAACTGTACAATCTTATTCAGATTTAGCACTTTTTATCCTTAACACTTTTATGGCATAGTATGTTTTTGCTATCTTACCATTATTCTAGCTTGCATGAAACAGCAACACATCATTTAACTGTTGACAACGCATAATAAAAAAGCACTTTATAAAATCTATCTTTTGACTATTTTTTACATCTACTTTTTCTAAAACAATTGTGAAATATTCAGACTGTAATCATTTTAGTTTAGGCAGATATTTGTCACAGTGAATATGCAAAAATCTCTGTGTAGGGAAACCAAAATACGGTGTTCAAAACTATCTATTCCTGCAAGCACTGATCCACACATTCCCCTCTGCTATGCAACAGTGGGGATCACTTAGAGTAATTTACAAGGAGTACAGGTAGCCAGTTTCCTGCAATAATTACCAATGTTTAAGCAGCATACTCCCACCACGAAACTATCGTGCAGGAGTAGCAGCACAGGCTATCTCCAGGAGTACAGCACATTGCTGAAATGTGGGGCTGTGATTGTGTGTAGGTTGGAGGAGTCTCCCATCCAAAGTTGTATACCATATATCTCTTTCGCTACCCCAAACTATGCTCATGAAATGTAAGAAATCCTTTTCAAGTGTAAGTAGATTGCTGCACGAAAGGCAGGTACTATGGTGATACGTGGCCTTATAAGAACTTTGATAGATGGAAGTAGCCTGTGGACCATGCTGAAGGGCCAAACCACTGATAGGGAACTATAGGCAACACAGTAAGGGAACAAACCACACATCTGAGGTGAAATCCTGGTTCCATTCAAGTCAATGGCAAAACTCCCATTGACTTCAATGGAGCCTGGATTTCCTCCGGAGGTGGGAAGCATGGAGCTGCTGTGGACATCCTGTGATTTAGAAGATGGCTTCAGACATTACAGAATCTCAGCCTACAAAGATTTTAGGTCATATCTACTGCTCTTCAACAGGCAGTCCAATGCACGTAATTGAGAGGATGATGTGGTGCTACCTACGTCTTTTCACAGCTCTTTCCAAGTAAATTTTCACCTTCCAGATGTTTTTCCATGGGAGGGAATATATAAGCCATGTAGTTTGTTTATTTCTCCTATTCCCAAAATCTTCTTAATACAGTTTTACTACTTGTGGGCCATCTCCTGAGTTTCTAACTCAGTTTCTACTCAGGCAAACTCTTGTAGAGTCAATTTCATTAAAGTTTGCTTGAGAAAAAAACTGAATAAGGATTTAGCCATGTCAAATTTTCAAATGCCTTTAGCAGAATATTTTGAAATTCTGTTGTGATTATGGTAAACTATAAAAAATAAAATATTTGTAAATTTGTCTTCTGCAAAACTAATGATTTTGTACAAACAATTTAAATACACTTTCCTGAAAGGTCCCCTGTCTCAGTGAGGTGGGCAATGTTTGATCAGACCAATAGGGGAAAGACAACCCATGGAGTCCTGAGAGGAGCGGGGGGAATTAGAGGGTCAAGTTCAGTTGTTTTGGGCCCTACTCTTCCCCTGTCCAGAATGCACATTGAGATTGTGCCTAGGTGAGAAGTGGAGCAAAGGAAGAGAAGAGAGATTCTACCTCTCCCTTTTGCTGTTGCCTAGTCTCTGGTGGACAAGGGAGAGTTTATTCTCTTATGCTCTTCCCCTCGTGCCTTGCAGTATGTGACACCCTCAGAGTAAGTAGCAGCCATTCTGCCACATTTGCTGCTCTGCCCTCTCTGCCCTATGGAGGTATAGTTTGAACTATGATGTTGTGGGTCTGTGCGATCACTAGTTTTGAGGATCAGGAAGGAATTTCCCCCCTTCCTCCCCCAGAAAGACTGATGAGGTGTTTGTTAGGTTTTTCCACCTCTCTTGCAGCATCCCAGAGGCCTGGTTTAAGGTTAATAAGGCATAAGAACAGTGTTTAAAAGTTGTAAGTTTATAAGTGGAGTTCGTAATTTAGTCACCACTTGCAGCTGATGTCCTGTGCAGATGAGAGGCTCTCAGAGGATGGTTCCCAGAGGTAGACATGACTGAGAGACCCAGGATATGTCCTGGGGACCATGGAGCAAAAAGGGGAGACATTTAGTATTCATAGATTAAGGTTCCTTTCATTAATGCCCACATTACACTTTGCAGTGAGAAAAATGAGTATATTCAGAGGTGAATTGAATCCTAGTTAGTCTGAAGAGGCCAACCCTGAATATTGGTTATTTGGCATGATGCCATTTAACACTGCACTGGACCCAAATACATGTTTTGTTTTGGGATGAGTTGGGGAGAGATTAAAGTTAAAAAAGGTTAATAACATTTCAGCCTTCTGCTTTAAAATCCATCCTTGTGCCTGTGTTTCATTCTCCTGCATGTTCTGATCAATTACTTAGAATCAGAACTGGAAGGGACCTCAAGAAGTCATCTAGTCCAGTTCCCTGCACTCAAGGCAGGACTAAGTATTGTCTACCATTCCTGACAGGTGTTTGTCAAACCTGCTCTTAAAAATCTCCAATGATGGAGATTCCATGACCTCCCTAGGCAATTTATTCCAGTGCTTAACCTCTTTGACAGGAAGTTTTTCTTAATGTCAAACCTAAACCGCCCTTGCTGCAATTTAAGCCCATTGCTTCTTGTCCTATCCTCAGAGGTTAAGAAAAACA